GCAAGGCGCAGGACTCCGACAATGTGGCAAGGGATGAAGTAAACAAGTTACAAATAATTCAATTTAATGAAAATTGCAAATTCAATTTGAGTTCCAATAAATAGAATGCAAATATATTCTATTTAGAATTAAATTGGAAATATATTGCAAATTCACATATAAATTCAATTTGGAATTTAATATTAGATCCAGAATAATCAAAGATAATTACAATTACAACGAAATTAAATTAGAATAAATTTGCATTACAATTTGATTATAATGAATTTTAAAAATACATAAACGCAATTTAGAATTTAATTAGGTTCAAATTAGAACTAAAAAAGAAGCCTATTACATATTCAAAACAAATTCAATTTAAAACTAATTAGATCCAATTAAATTATCAATAAAACTAGAAATGAAACAAATTCAATTAGAATAAATATTGGTTTAGAATTTAGTTAAATTGTATTTAAGTCAAAATTCATAGAATTAAATTAGAATTGAGTTAATAACTATTTAGAAATGAATAAGAAATAGTGTTTGCCAAAAAAATTAGACCCATGGAGAGGGACCCAGGAGAGATTGGGCAGGAGACATAGGTCCAACAAGTTCAGACTCATGGAGGGGGACCCACAAAAGGCTAGACAGGAGACACGAGTCTGATTTTTTTATTTTTTTGTTTTTTTTGGTAGACCAACGAAAATACAAAAAATCAGACCCATGGAGAGGGAACCAAGAAAACCAAAAAAAACAAGAAAACAAAAAAAAACAAAAAAAACAAGAAAACCAAAAAAACCAAACAAACAAAAAAAACAAAAAAAACGACATCTATTCCTCAGACAAACATTGGTCTATTGTTTTTTTTCTTGTTTTTTTTTGGTTTTCTTGTTTTTTTTGTTTTCTTGGTTTTCTTGTTTTTTTTGTTTTTTTTGGTTTTCTTGGTTCCACAGGCATTGCAATCTTGTTTTTGTTTTTTGGTTTGCATGTGTCTTTCGGCCTTTTCACACAATGTAAGAGACAGATGCAGTGAGAGACAGATGCAGTGAGAGACAAATACTTTAAATATTGCAAATTTGCGCCAAAAAGCGCACTCCCGTGGTGGCCTGTTCTGTAAGTTTCCCTAAGCATCTAGGAACCAAACGAATAGTGCGAGCGCTTCTTCAAAGAAGCTTCCCCCCGTCGCCTTTAGGGCGGCGGGGGAGCTTCCTTGAAGAAGCGTGAGCTATCCTGCGTCCTGGGTAGGAGCGTACTAGTAAGGTACTTAGTAGCTACCTTCAGCTTCTACTAGCTACCTCTAGCTACTAGCTACCTCTTCTGGCGGCCTGCCTCCCCTTTTTATTTTCGCTAGATGCTGGAGCGAGCAATTGAAGAGGGTGCAGCTGCTGGATTGACGGACTGGATTCTGCTCCTGCTTCGGCGAGAAATCCCGAGTGGCTGGATTCGAATGCAAATGTGTTGGGCTTTAGTTGTTTGGTATGCTTGTGTTGGTGAAGTGGTTATCGTGGCCCACTTGTGAAATGCACTGGGCTGTTGTTTGCATAGCATCATACTGTAGCGTCGCTCCCCACAGCGAGGACAAACAACTTTTCATGGGGAAGCAGGCTTTCTTGAAGCTGCAGGCCTTGCTTGGTAAGAGTCTTTCGAGGATTGGATGTTATTGGAACAATAAAATCATCGAGCCACTTTGTTGTCCCATATACTGATGATCTCAAGACAAGCTCACTCATCCTTTTCTACACCTGGAGGTGGCTGTTGCGGCCACAACAGACAGCATGGAGGAGTTGTCCTCAGTTTGGTTTCTTGTAATTGAACAGGATTGTCGTGTGTTGTGTTTCCACAATGCGGAGCAGCTGAGACCATCCACAAATTGCTTGCAACGGCAAAAGAAATGGGATGGCCTTCCGACCACAAGGACTTGCACATGTTTGTCCCACTTTGCATTGGAGGGCATGCCATAGTGTAGCCTTTGTGTAGTTTTTTGCAATACAGTTTTTGGTACAGTAGGTTTTTTGGGGTACATTAATGTGATTATAGTTATACTGTACATGTACCATACCTGTTACTGTACATATGTCAGGCGCTCTGCCTGGCGAGTTGGGGGAGTAGGGAGCAAAACTCACCTACCGGCTCGTGAGGGGGACCTTGAGCCCCAAAAGGTTACGGGGTAAAAACCTGTCATGACGAGTCATGAATGGTTTCTACTTACTTAGTAACCATTGAAAACACACCGCACAGCAAAACACACTGTTTTCCTTGCAGGTTGACCTCCCTGCCGCCACCCACTGAAGGCTCTTCAGTGGATGGTATCTCCTATGACAGTCAGGAGGTCCACTTAGCAAAGAACTTTTGTTGTTTCTTTGCCACTTTCGTCTTTTCGACTCTCTTCAGCTCCTTGTGCTTCTTGATCTCCTCGAACAGGGTCTCACTCTGCTGCATGAGCTCATCCATGACAAGCCAACCCATGTTCTGCTCATCAACTGGTTCTCTCAATCTCTCGTCGAAGGCATCGAACTCTAGATTTGTCAAAGCGTCTGCCAGCACGTTCTCTTCACGTGGGACCCACGTCAGCGTGGCATACGAATCTCTGACTCTTAAAGTCTTTGCCAGCTCTATCACCAATAGCGTGATTGGGTACTTTTGAATGCATTGCCCTTGTTATCTGTAAATGCTTCAGCCAGGATCTCAGCCCTCTCATCTCTCCCCTTCAGCCATTCTCTTGATGGCTACTATGGTAGCCGTCAGCTCAAGAGCCGCTATCACCCACTTCGGATCACGCCTTCTGAAAAAAAAAGCCAAGGGGCGCTGGCCTCTGTCACCTCCATCGAGAACCAGCAACACAGCTTGGTATCCGCAGACTCCTCGATCCAGCCTCCAATCCAGGCCTTGTCATCTGTCGCTTTGGCGTCTGTCCAAATACGAGCAGTCGACCTTTGCAATGGGGCCCTTTGACCTTGAACCTTCTCCATCCTGCCACCCTGTTCCACGACAAGATGAACAAAATAGCCCAGGGTATAGCAAGCTCACCTCTGTTGCCCTGTATCGCTGAGCTCCAGGCAGAAAGGGGGCCCAGGAACGGCTTCTCCCCGGGCAGCGGCTGCGAAACCTAGCCGCCCAATGCCAGCTGCAAACCCTCTGTACGACACTTGCTTTCGCACCCTCAATGAGCTGATCCAGGAGATCATCCACGCTGTCCTCTTCTCTGAGAGGCCCATGGTGTAGTTGCCATAGTCTGTAGTCAGGCTTACGCACTCCTTCACCAGTCCGCCCCTTTGCTTTGACCACTTGACTAGTGCTCCAAGGGCCGCCATTAGCCCGAAGGACAGGACGCTGCCTATCCTCCCATCTCTCCCGGCTCCCAGCACCTCCAAGTCATCTGCATACAGCAGCATGTCGCACTTGAATGACGGACCAATGACCAAGTGTGTGAGCCGCATCAAAGCCGCACTCAACCACACCCACCAATAGGGTGTCGAAGCCAGGCCAAAAGTGCCCACTGTGTTGACATACACAACCTTCGAAGCGCTTGATACCCTGCATGCCAGGAAACCCCACTCGCTCCGGTGGTACTTGAACCTCCGGTGTGCCTTTGCAAAGTCCCAACCAATGACAGGATCACCTGCTTCTCACCCTCGTGCTGTTCCAGGAGCGCCCTTTTCTCGCGGGGGCCAGGCATGCGAACCTTGTTCCTGCACTTGATCCTATGGTTGACCCTCACCCCATGCGTTGCATCATGGATGACTCTCTTCTTGCCAGTGATTGGGTCCTCCACTAGCACTGCTAAAGCCGCCAGGGCTCTATCCTCACCAAACGCCTTCACGAACGTCATTCTCACCATCAGGCCATCTTCAACCTCCTGATCCAAGTACTGCCAGAGGAACTCTTCATGCTTTGCAGCGGACACATAGTTGTCCTTCTGCCAAACTGCCTCCTCCGATACCTCACCGTCGAGAGCCCACTTCACCTCTGGCTGTTCTCTGAAACCAGGTCGTTGCAGAGCTCACGGCCAATGGGACTGATGGTCCCATTCCCTCCTCCTCGCCGGCGTACAGATAGTCCACCCACTGCATTGCGGTCAGCCGCTGCCCTGGTTTGATTGTTATTGATTTATTATTGTTTTTTGTTTTTGTTTGGTGTTTTTTTTGGTGCAGTTGTTGGCACTCACAGACACTGTTGAACGAGCCACGAAGGAACATGGTTTTATACACTGTAAGAAATGATTGAAATGATTGGACGACTCCTAGGCACCAGCGCATGTGTGTTGGGTAAGCTTACCCTAGGCGTCGCTTTGCTAGATTTGATATGAGAATCAGCAGCTGTACTGCTGTAACAAGAGTATGTCCCAAAATGAACATGACATCCTGCTCAGCCATAAGGGCTACCAGAAAAATATGCACGTGCGTAGGAGATGTGTAGGGTCCCCACGATGCGACATGATGTGACCGTCCGAACCAACGAAACTCTTGTTTGTATATTACATATTTGGATGCCGAAGCACCATTCCAACAAGGAGAACGACATCGGGATCTTCAATACCCGGTATGAAGAGCAGAAGATATGAGCCGCCTTCAATTCAATCTTAAGAACATGCAATCAACCTAGGCAAGCGATGGCCCCCTAAAGCGATGAGCATTGTTTGGTTACAATTCGTCCCTACTATCAAGAAAGCGAACACCTCCCCTCCAAGCTGAAGCCTAAAGTTGTCCAAAGTCCAAAACTGTAGGAAGCGATGGGCCCTCCAAATGTATGTGATGCCATGAGATTAGACAAGGAGGTTTACGCCCAGGACGGTCCCGGTTTGCCTCCAAGCATTTTGAGGGGACACCAAATTCCCTGTGAATAACAATCCGAAAGGGACTTGGGGCATTTGAAGCTTTCTCATCGGTTTTGGCGACTGGATGACAGACATACATAACATTACATTATAAATTATTAGTACTTTCAGCAGCGTCCATTTGGCAGTCGTATCAGTTCACACACATGTCACGTCGCTGCTTGACCCCGTGGACAGATCTTGAGCAGGACCTGGTTGTGGCACAGGCTCGTTTGGCATTTTTGGAGTTGCGCAGCGACCCCAGAAAGGTTCAAGATGCCGCCATGTTGCACTTGGCTATATAGGCTATGCAGCTTAAGTCGAAGGCTCGATGTCCACTTAAACGAACAGGATCCGCTTTCTGCATGTTCCCGCCACCAAAGATGTGGACTGAACCAAGGTGCCGCGATTGAGGGCCAGGACCAAGAACTTCTGCACAACTGCTTGGAGAAGGCCGACGTGTTTGGAGCATCTCAAAAGCAAATGCTGCTCAAACTACGGTTCTATTCGAGGCCAAGGAGTTTAAGATCGACAAGGAGGAACTGCTCAAGGGAGATTACAGGTGGGGGGGAAGCATGTCTTCAACATTGTGTCAACTTTACTGGCTGTTTGATGGGAACTTCCGAGCAACCCCCAATTGACAAAAACTTTCACCCAACCCAACTCCAAAGTTTTCCAAAGGGGATATTAATAGTTCAGAAACCTCGTGGTGGGGACGTATCGTCGAAGCGCGGATGGTTGCTGCCACCGCAGGGTTCTTCAATTGCCACGGTTTCCAGTGAACAGCAACCTTTGCAACTTTCGCTGTAAGCGTGCATGCATTCTGAACTTTTTTTTTCTGGTCTCAATGGATACGTTAAAAAAATTGGAAGTAACGTGGAGGTCCGTGTGTGTATATATAGAATAGAAATAAATAACACACAAATTCAGAACCCAGCCAGAATGACTAAACCACCAATTACTGTGAGTAGCTGAAGAACAGGCCAAGTAGACATATATATATTATACTTATACATGTATGTAGGATCATGTAGGTCCACATAGATGTAAAAATATAGTCGATTGTTTTGAGTATTTTAACTTCGTGATGACTTAACCGATGTTCTTGAGAACGATCCGTTTCGGGACCTTCATTCATGGAGTGTCCAATGGGAGGTTTAAAGTTCTGGAGCTGGAGAATGCGATGAAGGACTTTGACCGAGAAAGACTAAGGCACCAATCATCCACTTGGTGAGACTACTACCCTGATTTGGAGGATAACGTCTAGGAGATAAGACTATTTTTCTGACATCCAAGTGTTGACAAAAAGGTTGTCAGCTTTAAAGCTGATCAACCTTTGGAAAACATATACTCCTGTGCAGTCATGAGCTTCTTGATTTGCATGTTACATGTCCTGGGGCTGCAGATGGGTTTCTGTCAGGGATGCAATGATGGATGCGAAGGCGCCAAGCTTCAGATGCCCAAACTTGGAAGCTTGCTACTAGTGGTGGACCTGTTCCTAATAGCGACGCACTTCGTTACTAGTAGCAAGAAGCTACTATGAAAACTTGGAAACGGCTGGTTCTGCAGTTTGGTATCAAAAGCCAGTGCCCAGTGGACATGCACAACGGGAGAGTGCACTTGTTGAATGGGCCTCACGTTCTTAATTCAACGACGCCCTACAGCCTGATAACATTTGACACATCCCTGCAACTTCGATTTTTGTGCAACAACTTTGAAGTTTGGTCCAGCAAACTTTGGCAACATGCCAAAACGCTCACCCTTGAAGCGAAGGAAGTGAATGCTCCAAAGCACATGTTTATCCCGGCCAAGCGGAAGCTTGCAGATATGTTTCCAGAGGTGTGGTGCTTTTGGGTTTCTTCTTGGCTTATGAACTGTTTAAAGCCTTGCCTGGATTTGAATTTGCTTTGCCTAAAAGCCAGGCATACACCGATTGGATGGAGCTGGAGCTTCAGGAGGTCAGGCAACTGCAGCGACGCTATACGATTTGGTTTCAACCAAGTACAATACACGAGCAAGACCTAGATTCAGGCTGTTCAGGACCAGGTGACCCATGTTGACCAAAGTGTTTTGGTCTTGGTGAGTTTTTTCCCCACCTGTCAGGTGAGGGTTGTTAGATGTTGTTAGATTTTATGTCAGCTGTCGCCAACCTCCTCCTCCTCCTCGTCCTCAACCGCGAGCCTCGGCTGGTAGTGTTCCCGGCCAAACCTCAACGGCGAGGGTCGCGTGGCAGCGTTCCCCGCCGGACCTCAACCGTGAGCTTCGGCTGGCAGCGTTTCCCGCCGGACCTCGACCGCGAGTCAGAAGATATGCTAGATAGAACGCCAGAAAAACTGTCCGAAAGAATGTCAGAGGACTATTAGAAGACATGCCGGATAGAATGTCAGAAAGAATGTCAAAAGATATGCCAGAAAGAGTGTCAGAAGATATGCCAGATAGAGTGCGAGACGATGCGCCAGAAAAAATTGTCAAAATAATGCTTCAATATACACCATAAATAAATTCTGTCAGATTGAAGTGTCACGGTGGGGGTCACTCGAAGTAAAGTAGTTATATAAAACAAAATAGCAAGTAGCCACCTTTGTTATGTTTGTTTTTTGTTGGGAAACCGTGTAATTTCAATAGCTCCTAATGGTCCTAATCACCTAAACACTAGAGGTTCTTGATTCCCTCCCCCTTTAAGTTAGTTGTCGGAAGGAGGAACATGTTTGTGCCAAGGTGTGCTTGCCTGAACTCGAGTCCTAGTTTCCCTAAGAATCTAGGAACCAAATGATTAGTGCGAGTGCTTCTTCAAGGAAGCTCCGCCCTCGGCCCTCAGGCGCGGGGAGTTTCCTTGAAGAAGCGTGAACTATCCTGTGTCCAGTAGCTAGTAACTTACTTAAGTTCCTAGTTTACCTTTTCCATAGCGGCTTGTCCCCCTGGTCTTAAAAGGGCGGCATGCATGTGATGTGCAGTGGCGCACTCCCAGACCTGAAGCGACCCGTGCTTTTGTGACTGCAGGTAGACTCTGGTAGACCGGTAGACCAATTTGTAATTATTGAGCATGTCGTCATTGGTTGGCCAACATCAGGCACTTTGCTGAACTGTGCCATCGACTTTCGCTGACAACCAAACCCTATTGCCAAGGTTGGCAGTGTGGGGAGGTGTTGAAGATCCTGCCGTTCTGCGTGTGTGCAGGTGTCAAGTCAACCTCTTGTGTAGTCCCGTGTCACCGCCCTGTCAATCATGGTCAGGAGGAAGCAAGCAACTTGTTTAGACGATGCAAATGGGTGGGCCTTGTTGATTGCCTTGGTACAAGCATTTGCTTCGTAGCCGCTGGCAATGGCGGCTGAGTGCGCTGATGAAATAGAGACGCATGCACACTTCGTGTTGGCACAGAAATATGTAATTGCCTCATCCTGACTGGCACTGTGTGTTTGAGTCGGTTCTGATGTTCCGGTTGGCGCAGTGCTATCCAGTATATCTCCGTTCGATTCGGATTTTGCAAATGCCATGATTGAAATTGTCGCGCAAGTTGATTCAACCCTTCTTGTCAAAAAGTGCTTGACAAGGCCCGTAATTCCCCGATTGCCTCATGTCAACCCAATTGTACCAGGCTTGGACGGTGGTGCAGTTTGTTATACAGGCTGAGCAAGCGAGAAAGGAACGCGTGATGTTCTCATGCAGCGCATTTTTGAAGGCTCCTCAGTGCATTCGCAACTTGTTGAAGCAAGGTGCCAAGGATCCCTGCTGGAATCGTTGTCAAAGACTCTGCTGCGTTTCCTGGCGTGGTTGCTAAGAGAACAGGACTAGTGACTAGCAGCATGTGTTTAACAAACTGAAGCTCGGAAGTCCTTGCATGCTCTTGATCCACGTATGGTTGATGGGATCCGACGTGTGATCCCACACTTGACCTTTGAGCTTGTTGGATGCAAGGATAAAGTAGTTTGGATCCACCCTTGACTCGATGTGCACATGTTGGAACCTTGGGGTACTCGGGTACTCGTTTGGGCGGTTGCAACTGACTAGTAACTAGTAAGAGTTCACGATTGCAAATTCTCGCTTGAGATCCACTTCTGCAGAAATGGAGAAGCGGTCCACTTCCTGTGAACTTGAGCCCCGCAAGCTGGATTCGCGGAATTTTGCTGTTCCACCGTTTCATTCAATATGTTCCAGAGGAACCTGGGAGGTCCGTTTTTGAATATGCAAAGCTTTGCGAACTTGTGCGTCAATTCCAAAAGCACTCTTTGGGTCTACTTTTTGGTGAGGAATCTTGTTTGGGTATCAGCGTTCCATTGGGATTGCCGGGGGCGACTGGGGGATGACTTCTTGGAAGCAGCGTTGCCATGGTGATTTGGCATTGACATCGTAGCAAGGTATGACTAAGGCAAAGTACGTTCAAAATATGAGGGGCAGATCAAAGGAATCAGCTGGTGTGGTGGGTCCAGGGTTGACGTCGCGGGATTGTAACGTCAATCAGGCCGTGTCCTCGTTGTCCTCTGAAGCTCCTTCGAGCGAGCTACGCCTGGTGCCCTGTGTTTTCGTGTGGTGTTTGCCACTGTAGCATCAAGCGCCAAGCCGCGCATTCGCTTTGTTTCTGGACCGAGGATGCGTGCTCGAGGAAGCCATGAAAGCAAATGCACCTCTCTTGGCGAACCGATCTTGTCGTCATTTGGTTTGTGTGTGTGATGTTTGTGATATCAGCAATGAGGTAGATGAAGACAGCTTGCGGCCCGAAGCTTAGCACACTAGAGGCGTTTGGCAGGAGCCGGGCTTGTTAGCATGATGACAGAAAGCCTGTATGGCCAGAACTACATCCATAAATATATATATATATAATCCATTTGTGTTATAGTATTTTTCTTAGCTTCCTGATGTGCCTTGCATAGCATCCGGATCAAATGAGATCTCAATCCGGGGTTGGGGTTATGGTTTTAGGGCTGGATTTTGAAACACTTTCAGCTCTGCATCAAAAAAGATAAGTTTCTGGCTTGAACAGGAGAGTCCCTGGATTTCAATGAAACCTGGGCTAGAGGCTTTCGTGGTGCAATAAAGGTTGCCAATGTTTCATGTGACAGCAACGTTTTGTCTAGCGAGAGCAGCCCAGTATTTCATTGTGAAGATACTTGCATACGTGCAGTGAGGCCAGCGGAGGAAAAGTCATGCCCACAGCTGGAGTGACATCAGCTCTCATGTTATCATGTCCTCTCATGTTGCCACATTCATACCCAGTGGACAACCTTTGCACAACCGAGGCTGACAAGGTTGGAACTGGTTGAAGCGGTCAGGGAGACCAAGTTATTCAGGGAAACCACTGTGAAACCAAGTATAAAAACCTGAGGGACCTGAGGGTTGTTTCTTCTTTCAGCTGGTACTAATGTTTGTGTGGATGAGGCACGGATGGTTGACCGGTTTGAAATCGAGCGCATCCTCAACAATGCGGAAGCCTACGGCGTCACACCTACACCAATGCCTGTACTGTACAGACTGTGACCGGATTTGCTGATGTGCATAATTGCATGCTACATATCTAATTATATGCTTTCCCAACGTTGTCTCAACACTTTTTGAGGTTGGAACCTAGCGGAAGGAACTGTTGGCGCACTGTACCAGGCCTTGTTGCCACGCTGGTCGGTTGACATCCCGTGGAAGGTATTCGTCCAATCTTCTTGTAAGGCTGCCGACGCGCAAAGGAAAGAGCTTGTTCTCCAGGACAGTCGGACACCTCACAAGCTTCATTATCTTGTGTTCAAAACACGCCTTACAGGCACCCTGTTTGAGTGCATACATGTGGCTTAAGGTCTTACTACTAGGAGCAAGAAGCTACTAGGAGCAAAGGGCATCGCTACTAGGACCAAAACGCTACTACGGGCTCCTGGCCTCGCTACTAGGAGCAAGGACGCGTTCAGTGTGTCATGTCATCAGGAGCGGGTGACAGACTGCATTGAGAGCATGAACTTTGCAGCAAGGAACACAGCTTCTTTGTATTTGGGTCTGGCTGAAACAGTGAGTCTGTTTTCAAAAGAATCGTTTGTAGCCTGAGGTAATCTCATTGGACTTGGACTCGATCCGCCACCACGTTGAGGACGAGACTGCTGCGGATTTAGGATGGTTTTGGGGTACGGCGATTACGGTTATGCTCCTGGGTCCTTACAGTGAGGAGTCCGAGGAACTGGGCTTGTTGGACCATGAGGTGCTTTTTGTCTCAGCTTGGACAGACATAAACAATTGTCGCTGTCAAAGCCCTTGACCTTTGCAGATTTGGTAGGTCACCAAGAAGGCTCTGGAGATTCTCAAGGACTACTCTTAGAATCACGATAGTTAGTTGGCTCAAAGTAGCGCAACGGCTTGGATGCACTCTGACTACTGAAAGAAACGCACACGGTAATGAATAACGAACCTGCTGAGTCTTAGAGCTGCCAATGATAGCTGCTCTGAGACTTGCATAGTAAACGTGCTGGAGAACACCTCCGCACAAACTTTCAACTGATTGTGCCCTGGTTGACCAAAATTTGGCATGGGGCATCAAGTCATGTTGTTCGATACCATTCAATTAGAAGAGGGCTTTGTGTATGGCTTTGTCAGTCGCAGGTGGATTCCTACGAGGTCTGCCTCAGCAAGCACTTCGAGTCTGCAATTGAGCGGTTGAATCGGGAGCTTCCACAGGAACACAGGCGAGCATGGCGGAGCGACGTTTCAGCAGTGTGTTTGCAGAGATAATCATATTGCATCATTCCTTAATACTGCAAAGGAGAATAACCATTGGCCAGCTGTCGTGGGCTTCAAGCTCATATAAGCTCATGATTCATGCTCATGATATCTCATGATACTTTGCTTTGCAACTGCCAGGATTCTGTACAGGCCATTTGACATGAAGAACCACGCCAAGCACGAGCCTCATCTCAAAGTCCCCCTTGGATCGGGTTTGAAAACGTGATGGTGGCGACTCAAAAATGAATGCACGCCACTCAACCAAACTCGAGTATATAATAGTTCATTGTGTACACGTTTGGCTGTTTGTTTTCGCCCATTAGATAGCAACTTCAATGTTGGACGTGCTATCAACTCGGAAACAACCAAAGAATGCTCGTACAAGCGCTGGAATCCAAGAAGCCTGGCAAGATGTTTCAAGCGGCAGCTACTCGCAAGTCGCCAAGGTCCAACTCAGCCATTTTCGAAGTATTTCAACGCTTGGCGGAGTCTGTGGTGTCAAGAGTGGCACGCCTGACAGTTTTGTTTAGATACATTTCGAGTCAACAGATCATGTAAGTTGCTCCACATTGCTCCGTGGCACCAGGGCTTTTTCCATACAAAGATGGGCTTGCAGGGCCTGCCAGAAAAGCTGCTTGGCTTGCAGTCGGCGTCGGCATTTTGCCTTTAGCTGCTTTAGCTGCAGACAAAACTAACTAGAGTGGTGCTTTGCATTTGCTTGCTTTTGTACTGAAAATAACTGTGTGATACTGTGTATAAGTTTGCTGGCATCAAACACTGATGATTGCGGTTTTGCCTCCTTAACTGCAGCATTTCACACTATCAGGGACACATGCCAATGAAAGTCGCTTGTGAACCATCAGAGTCATGCAAGTTCCAACATATACCAATGAACAGTTCCTTCAATAAGAAAGACAAGATGGGTATTCATACGCAGCAAGACAGCCGACCAGCCGAGTTGACCTGTCGTAATTTCAATTTGCTTGGATCACCGCTCGGAAAGCAATGACTTGATGGGCCGCAGCTTCGCTTCGCAGGAAGCTAACATTATCCCATGCAGGCAAACAAGGCACCTCAGATAGCTTCACTCTATGTGGGTGCTCAAGGCAGCAAAAAGAGCATCGCAGCATCATTCTCAACCTCCAAATTTGGAATGCTTGAAACACTTGGAAATAGTTCCTGTTCGTTGGGCACACATTGCACGTTCTTCGACATCATAAGTGTTGCTATGTGCTTGAGGTGACCTTCATCCTGATGTTACTGAAGCCATGCTGTACCTTGGACCAAAATGGGGTTGAAGAGAATGTTTGAACTGCCCTTTGGACCGTTTCTCACACATACATCACTTTCGAAGAGGGTCATGGTTGTTTGCGCAGCTACTTGTATATTTCTCAGGTTGGTTGATATTTCTCATGATTTGTTTGAAGACTGAGGTATGAGCTTTTCAATCGCATTGGCCCAGTAGCGTCCATACGTGTTTGCCGGGACAAAATCAATCGAAAGTCGTTGGGCTATGGCTATGTACCTTTGGCAGCAGTGTTTGCCGCTTCAAATTGAGAAGACAGTCGAATCGCTTCAATGCAACTCGAGCCTCAGGTGAATTTTCACAACTTCAGTGATGCAGAGACTGCTCTGGATACCTTGAGTTACACAAATATTCATGGCCGAAGCTGTCGCTTGATGTGGAGCTACTCGTCCGCAAATCAGAGCAATCCAAGAATCCTGCTACCACGTTTCAGTTTGGCTGCTGAGCGGAGGCCAGCGAGATACTGGATCTAGAAAGGTGCGCCGACTTTGTAATTACTATATATAGTTATTCTACTGTACCTTCGCTGGAAGACGCCAGCACATAGAACGAATATGAACGAAGGTTGTCTTCTCCGAAGCTGCATTTGCATTCCCATCGCAGACCAGCAACAGCAATGTCTATGTCGCAAACCTGGACAAGAACATCGACAACAAGGTCACTCCACCTCAACTCTTTGCTGCCTTACAACGAAAGGGGTGCAGGATGGTGCAGGTAAAAGACAGAAAGCAAGGGACACGTGCAAATGAAGAGAATGTAAGGACGCTGATGGAAGAAAGAGCAGGAAGGAGTATGGACAAGTATGGACAAGCAAAAGAAACAGGAAACACCTGGAAAATGGTTGGCACATTTGCAACTCTGGGCACTTGAGAGAAGCACCTTCAGGCTCTTCATGATACCTTCAGTGTTTTCGGCGACATTTGTTCCTGCAAGGCCTGCGTAATGCCGTTATGTTCGTGCACAGACGGGGAAGTTTGTTTTGCGTATACCATCTGTGGGTAACACTTGGGCCTCCAACAGTCCGAAGTTCTCGCCCAGGTTGCGGCAGATAGACTGGGAAATTCATATGGCTATGGCTTCGTGCACTTTGAAACCGCGGAGGTCGCCAAAGCTAGTGGTTTCTAATAGCTCATCGTCCGTTTTGTGTGGGTGTGGATAGGGCAGGCAAGCTAACTTAATATACCTAATCAATCTTAATCAGGCATGCAGAAGAACTGTCGCTGTAATAAATTGTTGAGACTGAGACTCGAGTGTAAGACTCCTCTGCAAAATAGAGTAGACTCATGTAGACTCGACATTAAACTGTGTGTACGCGAGACCTTTGGATTTTTCACTACCAATTAAATATGACAGTTACATTTGCAGGCGGCTCAAGATGCCATCACCAAGCTAAACAATATGGAAGTCGGCGGAAAGCGTATCCAGGCCTGGCAAGTCAAGGTTTTATTGTTTGCAATCATTCCTGCTCTCAAGCTTTCCGTTTCGGGGCTTTTTTGGAAGTGTCGATTTGGCAGTTTCTTGGAGGTTTGTTTGTGCGAGAATCGCAAGGATGCCCAAAATTCCAACGGTAGTGAGCCAAGTTGTTTGAAGGAAACTTGCACCCGTCCTGATTTGTTTTTGCTTCAGGGGCATCTGACTTTACCAACCTCTATGTGAAATGCTTTCCAGAGCATTGGACTGAGGCAAGAAACACTTGAAAAAGGCTTTTGCTCATGTTTTAGTCCAACTGCACACCCTGACAGGAGACCTTGCGAGAAGAATTCGGCACGTTTGGCTCATTGACAGGGGTTGCAGTCCGGCCCTCATGGTATGAGAACCAACGGAACTTCGTCGACCCAATTGTTTCCTCCAAGTGAAGCGCTTTTTGCAAGGTGAGAACAGACGGCCAAGGGCGCAGGTGTGCGTTTGTCAACTTTGAGCATCATCAGGATGCGAAAGAATGTGTGAAGGTGTCGCTTGGTGACAGGAGAGTATACATGAAGGGACATGAATAAGCACAGGGTTATGTTGCTAGAGTTTGGGAAATTGACATGGAGTCCATTGCTTATCGCAAGATTTCAACTGAGGATGCACATGAAAGACATGAGGAGTCCTGATGAGCACTCCCAGGAATGTTGCAGCTTTACTTCACTTCTTCATAACATGTCATATATATATATACAGTAAATAAATACACATACAGTATATCAGTATTTTCATATTTGTTTTTACTGTAAGTCTTTGCTTGTTTGCTCTGATGCTCGAATTCCATCAGGACGAAGAAGTAGGAACCGATGGTCACCCATTGACAAGACTCTATGTGCAACGTGTCGCTGGACTGCACAGCGCCTCATTTTGCCGTCCCTTACATGCATCACTTGCATTAATCTTGATTCAGGCCCAACCAAAGGCGGAGCGTGAACGCATGCTGAAGAGCCAGTATGCATACGACGCAGCCATAAAGAACAAAAAGTCGGAGGCCAAGACGGCCAGGTCCAGGTGTGCAACACGAATCAAATTTGTTTCTCTTTGTCGTGAGAACCGAGGTCAATCAGCATCTCGGCAGATGTTCGAACAGATTCAAACATTGATTAACAGTCAGTTCAGTCGCAGTTGTGTCCAGTTGGCAGATTCAAACAGATGTCAACAGTTCCTGGACGAACATGGGAGGAACTAGATTCTCAATGATTCTCACACACACACGAGGCTTGTATATAAAGGGTCTACAGGAGAACGTCAGGGACGAGAGCTTGCGCTCGATGTTTGAACCATTCGGGCAAGTCCTCTCCGCAACAGCACCTGTAGATTCCAGTTGCTTGGCGGCACTAGGATTCACCCCATGTTTCTAATATCTTGCTATGTACAAACTGTATAATTACACCATTGCCAGACGCTGCCACCTATGGACACCATTGATAGTTAATTATGTTGCGACAGTATGTTGTTGAATAGGTTATGCCGCTTGCATGTAACAAACACCCTGAAAGATAGACTCATGCCATGGCTTTTTTTGAACTCGCAGACGGGAACTGCCGGGGCTTTGGCTTTGTAAACTATGCCACTGTGGAGGAGGCTACTAAGGCACTGACCGCCGATCATAACGTCTACCGCTCGACCAGCGTACTGGTCGAGACCTCGTCCCTCCTAGTAGCGTCCTTGCTCCTAATAGCGATGCCCTTTGCTCCTAGTAGCTTCTTGTTCCTGGTAGCGATGCCAGGAGCCCCTAGCAGCGTTCTTGCTCCTAGTCTCCTAGTGGCATTGGAGCCAGATGTAGATGCGCGCGTGTGCGAGTCGTCATAAACCTTCCTGATGATGGACATATTTAATTGGCCAATCGCATGTTGTGGATCATATTATTTTGATGTGAACGACTACCTGACTCATATTATTTTCGGGTAGGGGTCACGCCATGAAACCATGTGGCAAGAATAAATAAACAAAAATAGATATATGTCGGAAGATGTTGGAAGAAAGAACAATTATTGTCATTGAGAAAGCCAAAGACGGACAATGAAGGACATATGTGCAAACCCAGCTCATATTCCATTCAGGTGGTTCAGGTCGATGTGTCAATTCAAAGGTCCTTGGACGTCGACGATTTGACTTTCTTTGGGAAGGTATACCTATGTTGTTTTTAGGATTTTTTAGGTGGGCACTGCTCGGCACCAGTTGTGCGTCCGCGTAATTTGATGTGATTTGAGCGTTGAAAAGTGCAGGAAGGTCGTCGCGCTGTTTGGTCTTAAATGATCCGTCTTACGTGCCCCTAAAGGATCCGGATGGCAAGCAGGAATTCCTCTAGTTTGCTGAACATGTTACTGTATTGTTGGTTGGTAGAGGACGCTACTAGGAGCAAAGGGCATCGCCACTAGGAGCAAGGACGCTACTAGGGGCTCCTGGCCTTACTACTAGGAGAAATGTTCGCTACTAGGAGCTTTTTCTTAACATTTGCTTTGGAGGACCCCGATGTCAAAGGATTAGTTTTCAGATATGAAACCACCAACCAGATTGCCGTGCCGTTTGCGACAGGCTGTCTCCCAGATGCACTTGAAGGCAGTTGACTCAGAGCGCTTGCTTCTGCAAGGTACACTGGTGCACCCAGACTGTCTTATAAAGCAAGGTCATCGACGGCAGGGCAATCCACGTCGACTTAGCTGAGAGCAAGCAGGCCAGGAAACAAGACTGTTACCGCAGGGCATGGCTGGTACACGTGTATCAAGTATTTTCAAACATGTGTTTTTTTTCAAGGGCACTTGACCAAAAAGTCACCATTCATAGCCAGGATCGCGAGGCGCGACAAGCTCGAGCACACCAGCGTTGCTTGGTCAGACAATGAGTTGTAGCCGTGATTGTGCTTCAAGAACTTTCTTGGAAAGTCCATGAAAGTCTTGCCAGCAAGGAGTCCATCAAAACTATGCTAGAAGGCTTTTGTTCACCAAGGCTTCGCGCCACCAATGCGACCAATGATGGGTTCCCTGGCACAGATTCTGCAAGTGGTTTCATTTTTGCACAGCTGGGCTGTGTTCATAAGGCATGGCAAATCGGGGAAAGTTCCCCATGGGCCCCACTATGGGTCCAATGGGTGCCTCAGCGATACCAACACTGTTTGAAGTGACAATTGTACGCAAGCATGCAATAATTCATTCTCTAGTAGGTTAGAGTCGGAGGCCATTGCACGATTTGAGATCTCAGGTATGAACAAACCTGGACCTTGCGGCATGCCAAACTTTGCCAATCCCGTATCGTTTCCTGGGCGTCCGACCCGGCAGCTGCACTACAAAATTTGTTTTGGTTTGTTGACCCAACTATCCCGCCATTTTTCAGCCTGCAATCCTCAGGCATACGGTATATATATATATATATATGTATAACATCCTTGAAGACCTACTGAGTCCTACTGGTCAAGTGGAAAACCTGCCTCAAGGAAATTACTTTGTATAATTGTTACTCACTTGCTCGTCCCTCAAGCTCCTCAAGCTTTTTAAATTCATACAATGACAACCAGACAACCATGGCAGCTTCCAGTAATTGGCGAGGCCCGAAACAGTAAACATAGTGCACAGTGCAAAGCTTGGAAAGATGCAGCATTCTACTGGTTATAGTTGGGTTCACAAATACAGGGCCAGGAAGAGGGTTCACAGACTTCGGGAAAGAGCAATGAAGTATGAACCATGCCAAGCAGAGGGTGGCTCTCATTGTTTGCATAGCTCGATATAGCTCGTTTTTGTAAAACATGGTTAGTGCATGTTAGTGTAGTAGCAGGTGTTGTGTAGAGAGGTCTTTGTGCAACACGTGGTTCGTGCAAATGCAGGTGTTGTGTGTAAAGTTTGTAGGTGTAAAGAGACATCATGGCACAAAAGCTTAGCCGTGTAAACGCTGGTTAAAAGCTTGTTGGTACAAGAGCAGGTGGTTGACGCGAAGTATGTAGAAACCAGTTGGTGGGTGTGAAAGCTGGTTGATACAAAGGCAAAACACGTGCAAATGCACACATCAGGCAAACGCAGTAAATGACTTTTTGGTTGTTTGAGCACTCGGTGCAAAGGCTGCACAAGCAGGTGTGACTTCAAAAGAGATAAAGGACAAAGCAGCAAGAGCAAGAGGGTAAGAGGAAGAGAAGGAAGAGGACGTAGAGGACAAGGACAACGAAGAGGAGGAATACGTAGCTACCGGGTAAAGGAGGGGCAGGAAAAGCAAAAATCGGGGCAGGAGACGGTTCTAGATTCTAGTACAGAACTCTAGCCTAGCTACACAATTATTGTACAAAGCTTTCAACAACAAGAGCATCAATGTAGACATGCTGACAAGGCCGGCAGACAAACAAGCCTGAAAACGAACAACATGATGGTGCTCTTGGGAATGAAAGGCTGCCATTTTTGCAGAAAAGTTTACCACATGAATATGAGATGAGTCGAGGATGGGATATTTGCCTGGAGGGCCTGGAGGATTTGGATCTGGAGGTCCTTGGAGTCCATGTTCACCTTTTGGACCTTGTGGGCCTTGTGGACCTCAAGCCTGTAGCCCGTGTGGCGCTGGTCCATGTGGACCATGCCTGGGTGGGCCGTGTCCTGGTCAACCCTGTGCGGGATTGAGACCTCGAAGTATGGTATCTCAGCAGATGAGTCATGTGACAGGTTGAAGATGGTTTGAGGCACAAATGATTCAGATGACTAGCAGACTAGCAAACTTTGAGTTTTGGTTGTGGTTGCAGTTGCCGTGTCTCAGGTGACTCCAGCTACGTTGGCGTCCATGTCACCTCCCATGCAGAAACAACTCTTGGGAGAGACTCATAGTTGCAGCTTTCTGTTGCAAGTTTTCCTAAACATCTTGGCTCGAGCGCTTCTTCGAGGACGCGTGAGCCATCCTGCGTCCTACCTAGGAGCGTCCAGTACCTATATAGTAGCTACTAAAGGAGCTTACCTCTTCTTTGGCCTACCCCCCGGGCAAAAAACATATATAAGTACATATATATATATAAGTATATTATAACGAATCTGAAGAGGCCTTAAATTAGTTATGCAAGAGAACTACTGTTCGGAGAGATCCTTTTCTGCTTTGGGGTGAGGAAACTCTACAGCGAGATTGCTCCACTAAATCCGGCTCATGCTGGCAAAATCACTGGCATGATGCTGGAGAAGCTTGGCTAAAGTTGGTTTGGTCTACGATGTGGATTTGTTTCCATATACTCAATGTGTCAGTCAATGTCAGAGGACTTGATTTGCCTTGTATTTGATCCTGGACTTGGAGTCAGGATGGAAAACAGTGATATTCTCACGCTCATTGAATCTCCAGAGCAGCTCCAAACGAAAGTTCGGGAAGCGTTACGTATGCTGGAACGGGCTTAGGCCCTTGAGCCCTTTAAGCTTGATCTTGTGTGACACATGTCGTGACACATGTGGCTGCCTTGCAGTCTGTTGTCCTCGATGTTGTCAATGTGCAAATAGAAATGGGTTTGATCTTGCAGTCTGTTGTCCTCGATGTTGTCAATGTGCAAATAGAAATGGGTTTGATGTCCTCTCCACAGGAGAGGCGACAATTTGAATTTCACGTCGTTTTTGTGACGAGTGGTCGCTTACTTAGCTGCTTAGCTGGTAGCATGTGGATCTCTTGGCTGAGAAGATGTAGCAGGCTTGCAGGCTTGAGACGCGGTATCGCCCTGATTTCTTCTTTGAACAAATAGAGACGTTGCTGGTGCAAAAAAGTCGGTCGTGCTGTTGAAGTTTCTGAAGCTTTTTGCCGCTCACTCGCTACCACTGAAGTGTGGCTCACCCTGAACGTTGTTTCTGATGGTCCCGATCAGGTTGCAGACTGGTGTTGTTCGCACCAATTGTGTGGATTGTTTGGATCGTACCAACGCCTGGTTCCTATGTTTATTATTGATTTTCGTTTCATGAGCGCCGCTGAACTCGGACTGGTAAAGCCTCACTCCCCAAGGTGCTGCAATTTTTCGTTGGCCTCGAAGTACTCAAACAACAGCTGACAGTCAATAGCTGAGAACTTACAGTGCCACCTGGAAAGCTAAAATGTTCAAAGCAGCAGGCTTGCCCGGCAGATCAATTCAAGACAGCTACTATCATTTTGTGTCTTTGCCCATGTTGACGACCTGCCCCCAAGACTCAGAAATGCATGAATTTTCGGTAACTCAATCATTTGAACCTTGGAACCTGTCGAAAGCAGGTCATGTTTCCTTAATACATTTCCTTAATACAAGTCAATATTGATTGTCTCAAGTGATAAACTTGTTCGCATCCGCTCTCCTACTCTCCTTTGTGATTGCTATGGCTGGAACTACTTGTAGCAGCTCTGATTGGTCGATTTTGGACGGTGCCGAGACGGTGACCTCCTTTACCATTGAACCCTCGGAGGCGGACGCCCGAGACAAGGAGATCTGCCTGCTTGGTCTTCTGGGGTGCGTGCAAGGATCCTCTCTTGATCCAACCTACCAACACCCTGCCGCATATCTCGGCACAATTGAAGGCCAAGGCAGCCAAGCTGACGGTGAATGAGATGTGGCAATGTGGCCCTTCTGGGCAACTTTTCAACTTTTTTAATCCTGCCGCAAGTCACCAGGGAGCTCGTTGAATGGGTCATTCAGATCTATGTGGGTGCCAAAGGCCAAGCCCACCATGAAACCATGTTGCGGACACCACACCTGTCGGTGCAAGATCAGGGGCGGGGCAACCGCTGCAACGAGCAGGAGTGACAATTGGAGGTCTGGCACCTGAATGTGGTCCACGGGAGGGTGCAGTGGTCTTGCCCCAACCTTCCGAACAATGGCGAGGCGGCCAAAACTGAGGCTGCAGTGCCTCCAAACGACTTGAACAAGGTGCCGGAACCATGCCAGGACCCGATGGAGGGCTGGGAGCGGAAAGAAGGAATCCTGGAACGTCTGGAACTTTTTCCCAGGGGAAGAAGCGTCGGGGCCGTGGCCACAAGAGCAAGGACCGCCTGGACAAACACATGCGTGTGAAGAAGGAGTCGTTGGATTTCTTCAAGGCCATCCAGATGACCGCACCCCAGACCAAGGAGCAGTGGCGTTTGGGAAAGCCTTTGCGGCCCACTCCTTCCTCACCCACACACCACCTGCCGGAGCAGCCGATCCAGGGCTCCGGGCCACATCCGGGACCGGTCCGCTTGCGACGAGCGGATCACCTTGCCGGTGGAGAAGCTCCGTTCCATCGAGGCGGTCTACGCGAAGCTCAAGCGGCTGCTGGACATTCGACCAAGGAGGACGTCAGCTGGCTCCATCTCGCGCAAAGAGGGAACCAAACACTTGGGAGGCTCAAGGTCTTGAAGCCGATGACAAGCAACAGTTGATGCACGTGAGACAGTGAGACCCTGAAACCATTCCTGGTTCGCATAGGGGCTGCTGAGCCCCTGTGACACCTGGACGGGACAGGCGCCTTTGGCCTTTCATGCTGATGCTGGCGGCTGCTGCCTTTGATCTACGACCTGTTTCGGTACGTCTGTGACCTACCTCTGAGTAGTTTTCCCCTCACTTGCGACCTATGGACGCGTTTCAGTGCGCCCGGCGTTTTAGTGTGCCACCCCAGTCCTGCTCACCATTTTCATGAAATTTCAACCCAAGAGCTTTGCTGTTCGTTAATTGATTTTTTGGATTTGGTGTTTAAGGGAACTATATAGCATTTTTTGTATATAACTGGATAGCTTGCGCTATAGTATTGGCCTTATTGGACTCGCTTCTCTATGACAGTCACCGCAGCTTGAACCAAAAACGTGCTTGGCCAAAATGCAACCGTCGGCCAAGTTCGGCCGCGCTTTGAGTACAGACGATGGCTTTGCACCCTGAAATCACGAAGGCAATTGTTGTTAATGGGGCGTGGCTTGAACTCGACCCCTCATGAAATACGAATTTAGATTAATAGCAAAAAGTTGCATGACTTGCATCACCAAGTCACTAGCACAACTCATGTGGGGATTGTCGCGAGGTTCGAGGGTCTTTACACGCGATGGAAAGAACTCACGATTGTTCACATTCAGACTAGAAACTGAAAGCTGCGACTTGGGAACGGAACCACAGTAGTGAGGTTGGGGGGTGTAATGACATTCGAGAAAGCACCGTAGATAGAAATCAGTTTCTTGCCAGCAATGCAAATTCACTTGAGTATCGTCCAGAACCTTGTTGTTCATATGGGTTTGTTTTTTTGGCGCGCGCTTGTACTTCCATGATGTAGCGCTTGGAAGTTCGACTTGAGCGGTTCATACCCTCGAATCACACCCTCAAGTAGGAGTAAGAAGTAGGTGTTAAGGTGAAGCTTTTGGTTGGTCTTTGTGCATTGTAGATGCACGTCTTCTTGTGGGAAGAGCAAAGGCACACATCCCAGGGAAGAAGAGCAAAAGATCGCTTTCTTTTGATCGACTGGCAGGCGGTGCAGCCAGCCCATTTAAGATTTTGTTTGAGCCATTCTCGGAAGATCTGCAACAAAGTTCGCGAACGATCTATCAAAGATCTTCATGATATATGATTTCCTTGCTATCATGTTCTATCGACATGTGTGACATATGAGTATGATACCATGGAAGTACAAAGCAATCCTCCGGCGTAACCGGTGGGCGGAAGTGTCCCCACTGTCACGGACTGACTAACTGAACTGAAAGCTTAACGTGTTCATTGCACAATCCTGTCAGTAAAAGAATGTCCAATTCCTTGCCCAACGGTCAGAGAACAACCAACTGAAACCTTAACGTGTTCATTGCGCAAGTAAAATAATGTCCAATTCGCCCAACGGTCACCAACTAACTGAAACCTTAACGTGTTCATTGCACAATCCTGGCAGCAAAAGAATGTCCAATTCCTTGCCCAACGGTCACAGACCAACTAACTG